AACTGGACGCCTCCAAGTCAGTAACACTCACACTTTTCAACAACTGACTAAAGTTGCTGTTTAACCAGCAGCATTGTTCACTTAGGTCTGCAGTACAGTGACTGATTGATTCATACGCCACATTTTCCTACCTGTGCTGCCTTCACTGACCTCTAAAGGTTACCAGCACTAAAAGGAACAACATCTTTACAGTTTTATCTCATGTGGCATGAAGTCTAGTTGGAATAATGAATGTGTTTATTTATTTTTAGTTTATTTATTTATTTTATCTGGTGCACCAAGAAGCTTCTTCAGTTCTGAACTGAAGAAGCTTCTTGGATGAGAGGCGAAACGTCTTCAAGAAACGTAAGCAAGTCCAGTTGCCTACGATATAGCACTTATGATTACCATGACCTGGATGACTGAGAATCTTCACAGAAAAATTAAGTGAAGGCATATTTTGTTGTGTATGTAGAGTTGTGAAATGTTACACTCTCTTTTATCTAATTTTTCACTGATGTGAGTTACACAGAGGAAATTTGAGGAATAGCAGTAACAATTAGACCAATAAGGTTTTTTCTCTGTTATTGTTCAACATAGTGAAGTAATATTCTCACTTTTCTTGTTTCTCTCACAGGACGATGGAAAAGAACAAGAAGAAAGGAAAAATCTTTTGAAGGGATGCGACCGGTTCCTTCAGTTTGACACAAACTCATTTTTTCATCATCCCCTCTGAAGTTCACTCGTACCGTGGCCCTCCAGACATACACACACATAAACAGATAAAACACTCAGCACATTCTACAACTTTCTTATGTGTTGCATTTAACATGAACCACATGTGACATAGAGGCTTTTTACACACACACACACACACACACATACACATACATATACACACATGCAGATGCCCTCAGCAGCCCACATGCTCGTCTCTCTGCAGGGTTTCACTGTATCTGTTAACACCTCTTGTTTTCATGGGGAATGCATGTTTTTGTGAAATTCTATTTTCCTATATTTCCTGACGAAGAGGAGAACCTCGAGTTCCTCTGAGCTACAGCACGGAGTTAACACATGGCAGGGACCATGCATAGCCATTTGTACACATGTAGTAGTTGTATGTTCTCTAGGTATTCCATAGATCTACAGATAGACATACTATCCCTCTTCTCGACTCTCTTTCTTTTATTGTTCTCAGAAACAAATATTCACATTTAAACACCAGTCATAAAGACCTCAGTGAGAGTGTATGAAGAGAAGGGAGAGTGTATGTGAGTGAAGGAACTGAATCAGGTGGCAACTGAGGAGAAAGAAGTTGTGGTGTTAATGCCCGGTCACACCAGAAAGTGGCTTTGCAAAATTTGGGTTCTACAAGCTTGGTACTGATACAAGCTGATTGCTAACATGCTGGCCAGCCACTAACACTGGCCTTTTACTCCCCCAGTTTACTCATCGTTAGTTTCGTCACAAGTTTCTCCCTGTAGCAAATATGTCTTCTGAATAAAGGACAAATATTCAGCGAACAGAACTTTTGTCCATTTAGCAAACTTACTGTTCTATTAAAAATATATATTTATACCTTTGATTCCCATCTCATAACTGTCTGCAAAGCATTCCTTTGTGAAGCAGTGTAAACCCCAAAGCCAAAATGGCTTTCTCTATTTAGGACTCTCTGTCCTCTCAAAGGTCAGCACTGTCAAGACAGCTTGCTAATGGTCAACAGCACAAATTCCCCCTTTGAAGTTCACCAAACTTCACAAAACTCTGCCCTCACAAGCCAATTCACTGATGTAAATGTTGGTGTGACCGGGCCTTTAGACAGGATTTACAGTAGTGTGTGTATGAGCAGGTGTGTTTTATTAAACTGTGTTTGAGGTCATAGATACTGTCGGATCTGAATCAGACAGGCAGAAGAAGGGAGATCAGAAGAGCAGCCAGATTTTTGTCATTGCAGTGTGTTTCATATTTAAACAGAAGACATTATGCAAAAGCCTCATTGTTGTCTCTACAGGTTACAGTGATAACAAAGATGTTTTATATTGTGGTGTAAGTGATGGATGTTGTCATAGATCTGAACCCTGATGTCCAGCTTTTTGTGATATTTTCCCTTTGTGTCAAACCAGCAAAGGGATAATGGATCAAATATTCCTTAAACCTTAATTTCTCCCTGGACTCCTCAGAAAGATAACTGCTTGTTTGGAGAAGTTTGTTCAGCCATAGCTTTATCTCCAGCTTCACTAACCAGTATCATACATAACTGCTTCCTCACACAACAAAACACAACCCCTCTGCTATTCTGTAAACTTCAGGTCTGAGTCAGAGTCAGAAAGCAGTGTGCTCCGACGAACCTTTAATAAACCTTTCCAAGAGTTTTCATGTTTTATTTTCATATGATGACAATGATATTATTAATACTATATGTAAGGCTGAAGAGCGACTCCTGGAATCCTTTGTAGTTTTGTTAAATGACTCAGATTAATCTGTTATTTTTAGTATAGTTTTCAGACTGCCTGCAGTCTTAAACGTGCATTTAAAACAACATGCTAAAGGGATGAACCTTACACCTTCAGCACATAAAATCTTACCTGTATGGATTTGTTGATGATGGAAATGCTTATATTGTGTACATACTGGAGGCTGCTCAGTGGCCTTTTTTCTTTCTTTGTTATTTTTCAGAATATTATATGCCAGGAAGTTGTACTCAGACCAGAACCTACCATTTAAATCTTGTCTTAACAATCCTCAAATACATTTCCATACATTTCTACCTGCATACACATATACTGTATACATCTATGCCAATGAGTACACTTTCTCAGGACTGCTCTGTTACGCTATATTTTCTCTTAAAGTCCAGAGAAAAGCAATGCTGTGGTCCTACAAGTTTAAAAAAGTGTTGTTTTTTTTTGTTTTTTAATGCTTGAGAGCCACTCGCCCTTCCAACAACACCAAGTTAAGATCGACATAAGTTTAAGTGGATTTTTCTTTTCTTTTTTTTGTAATATTTTCTTTTTTTTTTTTTATATGTACACTGTTTTCTGCTTCTCTTCTTTGTTTTATGTGTTCTGCCTCTAACTGTACATGGTTAATATTAAAGTTGACAAGGTTATGCTTTAACTCCCAATGTGTGCAAGTATTCTTTTAAACACGCTCATAAAATGAAAAAATAATGTGGAGTCAAACATTTAAAATCTCTGGATGGAGCTGTATTAAAACATACACGAATGTAAATATGACACACACGTATCGGACATGCTGTACTGGTAGGGGGGATCGGGGTTGGTTGGCATACAGCTATTTTCAGTCTAACATCAAAATGTTTGCTTTTTTGTCCTGCACTCATTTACTGTGTTAAAATCTTTAATAAATCACTAACATTTTGGTCTGTGGACTAAATGTATTATACAACTGTGTTAGATTGAGATGTTGGGAATGTGTTACGTCTAGTTAATAGACAAAGAAATCAGCTACATTTTGATAGAAGTTTCAAAGGTCTGTGATGACTGATGGCAACTAGCTATGATAATTATGTCACAAAGTTGGGTCAAATGTATGCGGGGTTGGTTTACACTTGTAACTTTGTTACTTAATATGAAGTAAGTTGATTTGTCAGTTGTAAAAGTACTTTTACAGCTCTATTGATAAAATACTTTAAATTGCAGAGTAACCATGGTCATGAAAAACCTGGAAAAGCTATGGAATTTCACAATCACATTTTCCAGGCCTGGAAAAGTCATGGAAATTTTATTGTGTTTAACAAAATTGATACTATAATCTTAAATGGATAACCTTCCAATTAATTTAACATAACAGCAAATGTATTTTTGGAGCTGACGGTGTAACGTAGCTCTAATAAGCATTCATGTGTGACAACGTTTTGTTGACCATCACATATGTTTCTCTTATTTTCTCCTCGCATTCCATTTCTTCCTTTCATGTATGCCCACTAGTTGAAATAATGTTTGATAAGAGTTTGAAAAACTATTTATATTGTGGGTCCTTGAAAAGTTTTGAAATTTTGCCTTTGAAAATGTGTGGGAACCCTAAAATGGTTTGGTTAAAAAAAAAAGGGAAAAAAAAGTCAGATATTCTAATAAATGTTCATGTTTTTTGGTTCTTGTTTAAATTATTTTTATATCATTTTGCATAACCACTGCATTTTATCATTGTGCCAAACAACCCCATGATGTGGCTGTTTGGCACAAATGTGCAACATGGATTTAATCACAAATCTCATTATTTTAGAAAATATTTGTAAGCATCAAAACATATGTATTTATAGTTGAGACCTTAACATTTTATTCACTGCTGTTTAGAATATTCTCACATAAATGATGTCAGAGAAATACGTCAGAAAGTGAAAAGTGTGCCAACCAACTCCGGCCTGCCCTACAGCATTAGTTCAAATTACACTGTAATTGAAGAATTACACTGTATGTCGTAGACCAGTGGTTCCCAACCTGAGGGTCCCAACCTCTGCTAATAGATTGATAAAATATAAAACATAGATAGATAGATTTCACAGTATCTGTCCCTTTGAGTCAGTTCATGTCCTTAAAGAAAGCAGCATGGGTTTTTTATTAAAAACAATTCTTTAAATGCCGACGTTTCAAGCGGCCTCTCTTGGTAAGTGTGATTATTATAGCCCTCTCTTAGTGACAAAGAATTTTCTCACGAAAAGAAAAGATCCTGGGGATTATGAGAAGGTGTGCAAAGTGACACGAGCCTGCCATTCAAGTCCTGTCTGCAACCTGTAATATATTATAGAATAGGCATTTTCCCTAATATTAATGTTTTAAATTAACCTAAGTTAACCAAACTTTAACTGAAAAAAAAAAACACTTAAAAAAAAAACACATAAGTCATCTGATCATTTATAAAAGGGCTAAATTGAAAACCTCAGACACAAGGTAGCAATCAGATAACACAGCCAGTAATAAAGTTAATGTATTTAATAAAATACATTATAGACCTGCAAAACCAGGCAATAATTCATCACAGTATTATACAATAATACATCTTCATGGCTGCTGACCGCTGCCCTCAGTGTTGTGCAGTTGATTGTAGAGATCCAGAGCCCACTGGAAAGATCCACTGTAGCAGATGTGTTTTCCTCTGATAGTCTGGACTCTGTGAAACATACAGGAGAGAAAACTCAGGTCATCCCTCTTCTTTTGTGTTTTAAGAGTAATTATAAAGCATGCTGTGGCTTTGTATTGATGCCTGGAGGTCATCCATTATTCTATTCGTCATTTCATCTTCAGTTACGAGACAATAACAGCAGCAGAATGTGGCACAAACTTACATGAATGCCTGCTTCAGACAGGAGCTGTGGGTCTTGGTAATGGTGGATACCCTCTTCACATGTATACCGCGGTTGTAAAAGCCGAAGCAGCAGTTTCCAGGTGCCATGCTGATTTCAACAGCTGTAGCTGTGAGGAAGGTAAATGGATAAAGTCAATACAAACATGTTAGTTAACAAACTCTGCAGATGATGAGGCACAAACACAGACACAAACTCACGCATGGCGTCGCAGCAGCAGGCGATGAGCAGCAGCAGCCCCAGAGTGATGCACAGAGTCTTCATGATGCTGTCAGTGAAAGGACGAGGAGGATGATGCTGTTCTTCTTCTCTCTTTGCTGTGATCGACTCTCGGCACTGTGTCTGATATAAATCCTGTCCAGTGTGGAACCTAAATGTGTATGATGTACGTATGATGTCAGCCTTTCCATCCTATATTAATCCTTCCGTGAGACATCAGGGGAGAATTTCCCCACACCTCCTCAGAACTTCCACTGCCAAGAAATGCTCAGATGACTGCTGGTGTCTGGTGAGGGGACGAAAGTAACAGTTTTGTTGTAAAGATTAAAATCAGCTACCCGACCACAGAAAACAGAAGAGCCTCTTCAGTATTTATCTCGTCTACATCTCAGTGCACTTTTAGACTGTGGAAAGGTTATCATGTTTGAAACATTGTGGGAAAGTAAAACATAAAAACATTTTCAGTAAATCATATTTCAAGTGTTTTTATTCTTATGTTCAAGTTAAAGCAGCAACATTTTGGTTTAAATTCTCTCATTAAAGGAGATAAAATTCATCTTCCTCTTTTTACATTTACATATATCACATTTATAGAATTGTATAGCAACATGACGTCAAATGCTGTTGTCTGGTGAGAGGACGGAAGTAACAGCTTTGTTGCAAAGATTGATTTAGCTCCACGACCACAGAAAACAGAGAAGTCTGTTCAGTATTTATCTTATTAACATCACTGTATATACTTAGTGAATGGAAAGGTTATCATGAACATTCAATTCATCATACACTTGTACTGTATGTTTTTAGTTTACTCATGAAATGACCTTGGAACATACACAATATTTGCTATTTGAAACATTTCATGGATTCATAAAGTACACTGTGACTTTGTACGTTCATAATTTTTGCCACAACTAATAAGGTTATTTACAAAATAGAGAGATGCATTTGATCTGTAGCTAAAGCTAAAACTTAAATATTTGACATTGTAAAATTGTACATTCCACCAGTGGTAGATCTTCCTACAGACAACATAGTCGGCCTAATGCACTACCTGGGGATGCTTGCCTTGGGCATTAAATGTGCGAGGTCTGGCACTGCATTCCACCTGAGACTGGATCAACCGGGCCAAGCAACTGCCCCAAGACCCCAGCATTCCAAGGGCCAACGAGTCTCCAAAAAAAAAAAAAAAAAAGTTGCCATTGTACATTTTTGCCATAGACTGTACAAATAACAGATGTAGCTACAATGACATCACCCATATGTTTGTAGACTCTCGTTTTTCTATTACATAGTGGATACATTGAAATGTTTATGTTTCTTTATGTTTGAAAGGTTTAGGAACAAAAATCGCTTGGTAGTGGTTAGGAACAGATCTTATTGTGGTTTACAGTACCTGCTGTTGTGACAATATCCTGGCTGGAAACGCAGCACTGTCTCTGTAAAAAACAATCCAGGTTTGTTACCTAAAACGCAGCTAGATAAAGCGATGGGTTGCTAAAACTCAGTTTTGTTGTTTGTTGGTCTTGAAAGCTGGTCTTCAGACCCAAGTGTTTCACTATACACCATCCCTTCCACCTCCAGATGACAAAGTCAGATACGATACAATATGATATGATATATGATATGATATGATACGATACGATACAATACGATACGATATGATACTATGTGATAGGTGTGAAATGTACAAATGTAACATATTTGTGATTTGCAAAAATGTACAATGCCAACATTTTCTTGTGATGACTGGACTGCCAGGGGCCAGCAAGCTCCAGTCTTACTATGTGTCAACTGATTTGTGCAAATTCATTTGGAAAAAGTGTTTGGAAATATGCATCACTTAAACCAAATAATTCCAATTCCAAAAAAAAAATCAAAAGGTACATCTCAAGCCTTCAAGTCAAGGACGACAAAATGCTCACGCTTATTTATTTAGCTCACATCACAATCAACAAACACTTGGGTATTTCAGCACAAGCATTCATCAGAGCGTTTAATTTTAAGGGTATCTGAGTCAAAGTTGAGGGACTTCATTATTTCAGTTTAGTGCTTGGTGCTTAAGTGTTGCATACTAATTCATGTAATTAAATTAGCACACAGAAAATCAAGTTTCCTGATGTAGAGAAGAAAGCATGGACACATCCCACAGAGAGCAGGAGGAATGTGGTGTCAGTACTGGCCCAGCAGGTTAGTTTTGCCCTGGTTCTCCCCAGCAGGTTAATCCAGTTGGTTCCACCAGCAAAAGAAAACACATTCAGGTAAATCAAACTGCCAAAGTCAGTTTAGAGGTTAGTGGGTTTTTACTGCAACAAGTACGTAGATGTTATATAGTCCTGGAGGACTGACCATAATATATGTGTGGAGGGTTGGTATGAATGGAAAGAGATCTGGTTTAATATGCCCATGTTTTGTCATAGGGGCTTCTGAGATTTCTGCCACATTCACAACATGGCAGATATATGCATTGGCAATTACATTCCCAGAAACAATGTCCTCATTATTCTGCATTATCCACAGGCACTGTCAACAGTTTTCATCAGTTATTCTAATCCGTATTAAAACTATACAGTGAGGTTTAAAGTTTCAAAGTCGGTATCTCAAAGCGTGCCACTTTTAACCAAAACTATCTCTTTTATTCAGTAATTCTTACCACCAATAAGTTTGGAGTTCATAAAAATGTATTTAATCAGATGGCTGCTGGGTCATTTACAAGCACAACATACCAACCACTGAATTGGTTTTTGCCTCCTCCAGGGTAAACTACATCACTTGTTTAACATGAGTCACTTCCCCCCTTCATGCAAATCTGTGCGGAGCAGACTGAAGTGATGGAGATTGCATGATGTTCATAAGATCTTATCACAGCTGTTTTCAGACTCGTACACAAACCCAGGTTCAGCAAAGCATCTGTGACCTATTTAGATCTCTTCTCTGCATGCACTTGCAACCCAATCAATTTCCTCTTGATCATCATCTGTAAATGATTTTCAAATCTCCGTCAACGGACTGCCAATGTAATGCACTGAGGTTTTTATATAAACATAAGCACTTCCCATTCAAAAATACATCTGAGAAATCCATCTACTGATATGCCAGAACATACTAACGCAAAAGTAAACTGGACTTTGACAAAATATTCCAAAGTCAAATTTCTGCCATACTGCATTTGCTCTCTTGTTGCAGTGTAATATAGCCTATCAATCAGTTTTCAGTTGTGAGATACATGGGTGGCACTAAGGTCAGTGGGCTGCACTACATCATTTGATTATTTGTTACAAAATGTTAAATACAAATGCTATTCATCAGCATAAGTTGCTAGAAAAAAATGTGTTTTTTTGGACAACTCCACCTGTTGCCACTGTGACCTGAGACAGTAGCAATGGAGAATGGATGTGTGAATCAAAATTACATTAAAAATATCATACACCACAGAGAGGGGCATCAAGGCACGTTTTTGTGCATAATATGATTTGTCACCAAAAGTAGCCTCTATCCACTAAATGTCAATACAGAGATATTCCAGTAGTAGATCACATTGTATAACTAATTCTCACAATTCAACAGCCTGTTTACTCTGTTTCAGATTTACAGTTTTGATCATGGAAATAAAATGAAATAGAAACAGAAAAGTTTTGACACATAACACAAATAGTGTAATAGACAACCAACAATGTATTAAACAGACTTAACCGTTAACATCTATGTCAAAACTATGTGTCACACCCACACCTCACACACCTGGGAGTTTTTTTGTTGGGTCAGAGCTCTACAAAAATGCCATTGCGATGATGTACTGGAATCTTGTTTTGCGTGCTTACTTGGTTTAATACGGTAAAACGGTATCATCATAATCATGCTTTGACCAAGTACTAACGGCTAGATCCGCGCTCTTTGAGAGTATTTACGGTACTCCACTTGTATGCACAGCTAACGTCAGAAGACCCGCTGAAATTCAAAGTTAGAGGAGGAGACCAGAGCATATAACAACAAGAAGGTTGTTCCTTGTTTTCAGTCAGTTAGCGTCGACCCGTTTCATACAGACTGTTGTTTCACACAGACTTCTTTTCAGGTAAGACAACAAGCGACTTGCTGAGCATATAACGTTAGCGCTACATTGCTCTGCTAACTCTGTTACGACGCGAGACAGCGTGTTCCTGCTAACGTTAGCTTATCAATCTAAGCTAGGCTATCGGTACGCTGCCCAACTTTAGCTAAATTAGCTTGAAATAAGTTTGTCAGAGCTGAACTTAAAGGACAGTGTTGCTGTTGTTAGCAAACTAACATTAAGTAAGCTCATTTAACAGGTAGTTAACGTTAGCTGTTAAGTTAACTTACAGGTTGTCAAGATATAAATGTTTGTGAATTTAATTTAACAAACACGGGTTCTTTGCCGTGTTAACAAGAGCTGAGTAGCTAACGTTATAACAGCTTGCTATGAATGTGTGTTTATTTTAACAGTGACCTGAGCTGAAACTGAAAAATTGGGCGTTGTTATGGTTCATCTTTTAGGGGATAGAGCTGCTGAAGCGTTGTTAGCCAATATTAGTGTGTCCTCTATATGTGTAAAAACGTCTGGAAGTTAGCTTAAATAATTTTAGCCAAATATTTTTCATGCCATAACGTTACCTAGTTAGAGTTTAATCTAAGTTATCACCTTACCTCATGATAGTTACCTGCATGACCTTCACTGTTGAGAAATCTCCTATTTAACCAGTCTGTACCTCTCATGAGGTTATTCTAGTAATAGTCAGCAGGTGCTAAATAAACTACCACGGCTTGACTCTTGTTTGTACTAAACCCATTGTGATTAAAGGTTTCTGTTCAATAGCAGTTGATATCTTAATATACTTACCCAGTCTGTAATGTCACTGTTTGCAGCTCAGTATGGAAGCTGGTGAGGAAAATAATGGCAATGTCAACTTGAAAAGACAGAGAGCACCTCTGTCAGATTCTGAAGACAATGTCCTCTCACAATCAGGTTTGTGTGTGCCTGCATTTACAGAGTATTAAGTTCATATCTTTATGGCTACACATTCACAGCGGTCTTGTAAGTTATGTATATTTGTGACTTTTGTCCTTGTGCATCTTTAAATCTGATGTCTCAGAGGTGAATGATGGCCAGAAGCGGCGGCGTCTGGAGGCAGCTGGTCAGGAGAACCGTAGTCCTAAACCATCCTCCTCTGGACGCCTAGCTGAGCTGGAGATGAAGCCAGACACACCGATGGTTCCTTCAGTCCGGACCCGAGTCCAGCAACTCACCCAGCGACGAGAGGGTAATCCTGCCTTTACTTTTGAGTTGAATAGTTTGTCCTGCACATTTTTATCAGCGAAGGTAGACTAAATATTAGAAACACCTCTTAGTATAGTGCGTTGCAATTCAACAGACTACTGTTCAGAAACAACAACCCCAAAAAGATCTTGACGTTGCTTCAACACATATCCAAAACAGATTCAGCAAAAAAAACCTTAATGAAGGTAGGATTTATTGCAGGACTGTTGTATCAGACTGCATTAGTATCTAAAGCTAAGTGGAACTATTAAGTGTGTACAGACAAGTATTGACAGGTATTGTGGCAGGATTTATATTACTGCTAAAGATGGTGACATTTCATGGTAGACAGGATCAACAGTCAAGCTGGGTTGTCTGAATGCACAAATGCAATCTTTGTGGAGCAGGTGTGACAGATTATAACATATATGCTGTAGTTCATAACAGCAAGCGTTTGTTGTTTCAGGTGCAGCTCCTCTTGCCCAGCGGTGCCTGTCGGATCCTGGAGCTGACAGTCCATCGCTCTTCATCCACAAAAAGGGCCTCAGAGAGCATCTCCTTGGTAAGGATGCAGTTGAACACACACACACACACACACAACACACACACACACACACACACACACACACACACACACACACAATCAAAAGCCCTTCAGATTTGTCACTGTTGAATACAGCTTTAATTTTCTATTCTGTCACAGACATTAAATGAATAATAGATAAAGCTGTGTGTATAGATAGATATGGGAATGGATGGATAGATAATGGATAGACAGACAGACAGTTAGTGAGTTTAAGATTGAACTCCAGCTCATAGTCAATTAAAATTGTGGAAAGATTTTGTCAAGGCAATATCATTAAAACCATACAAGATGCAGTTAGAAAAACTTAACATAACTTTACAAGTGTGTGGTTGAGCTCACAATGAAGGCAGTGTTTGAAGATGGCTGTAGTCCAAGCAAGGATGCCGGGAGTAGGCTCGGGGCTATTGCCAGCCCACTTTACACTCCTGGCCCACAATCGTTTTAAGTTGCGGATCACCATTTGTGTGATCCCATCACAAGATGGTCTCTAGTTTTAGATTTAAGTTTGACCTAATTTCTATTTATGTTTAAAAATGAATCTCTAAATGTTTTCCCTCCAGGTGAGGGAGAATTTAATCAGCGATTGGAGCGTTTCAAAATGCCAGTCTTCCAAGCTAGCCCCAACCCCACACCAAGCCCTGCCAACCCCTCCCCACGGACCTGCTCCAACTTTGTGTCTGCCATTCAGGAGAAACTCCACAGTACTACAGCACCCAGCTCCAAGCAGGCTTCACGCATACGCCAGGTTCGTTCAGGCTTTTTTTTTTTTTTTTTACTGAAATGTATTAGCAGTGCCTAAGTTCCTTTGATCAACATCATTTGAGCACTGAAGTTGTTGTTCTTAAATGTGCAAATAGATTCAAAAGCCTGTTGATACAAGTCATTTACACATGTAAATTATTTGTAATATATCCGTATTCCTCAGTGGTGTCTGTGAATCTTTAAACATTAAAACCTTTCTAAACTAAAGCTACGAGCAGCTGCAGTACCCTAATTATAAGAACTTAAAGGGATAGTGCACCCAAAAATGAAAATTCAGCCATTATCTACTCACCCATATGCCGATGGAGGCTCAGGTGAAATTTTAGAGTCCTCACATCACTAATTGAAACCACAGAATATCTCCATACTGCTCATCCGTAGTGATCCAAGTGTCTTGAAGCCCCGACATAAAATGGTGTTTTCATTTTTGGGTGCACTACCCCTTTAAGAATGAATGAATAAATTAATTTATACTATGCTGTTTGTACTCAAATACGTCATTTAATCCTCGTGGTACCTGTAGAGTTTGTCTGACCTCTGACATGGTTTCACTGATCAGGAACGGGAACAGGAGTTGAACCAGTTGCCTTTTCAACCAATCAGTGAGAATGCCTGGCTGAAAAGGAGCAACTCTGATCCCTCATTATCTCAGGTGGGTTTGTGTCCATGGTATTTTGCTTTCCAAACATTCAAGAATGTTTCAGTAAGAGCCATCAGTAATGTCTTGTCATATTTAGTTTCTTTTAAATTAAAGTACATTTGGTTTATTTACCTCATTGAAAATAGGAACACAAGAAGAAACTAACACAGTTCCTGACTGTTTTCAGCATTTTTCTGATACCAGTGCAAGTGGCTGATCGATGACAAGTGGCTATTTGAATATCATCCAGTTTTGTTCTTGCATAGCCATCAAGTGATATACTATGGTTATAACAGAGAATGTCCACTTTGGCATAAAGTGTGTTTGGTACAATAACTGTAGCATACTCTACATGTCTGTCTGAGATCTTGTTTTACACACCAGTTTATGTAAACATTAGCAGGCATGGACCACTCCTGGCCCCTCATCTCCCTCCTGGGTTCCTAGATCTAGAGGGAGATTTCATTGGCCTCCTATGCAGCCCTGGGATGTGAGTCTGTGGCCAAATAATCCTTCTCTGTCTGGTCACCTATGTGCTTTGACATATGACCAAAATATTTGGAGCCGACAGAATGGGTGACATTTATTTGGGCAGTGATACGAATTAAATTGAATAACAGAACAAGGCAAATATCAGCGTACAAGTTTACTACTTCTGTTGGCATAATTACCCATTTAATTGGCTCCAGATGCTTCTCTTTTTAGATAAAGGTATTTCACTTCTTAAATACGTAGTGCTCCCACGTAACTCTGGTGTGTTTTGGGGGAAATGGGCTGTTCACGCAAAGGACTATCACTTCACTTCACATGTCACAAACAGTAGCAAAATTTAACTGTCTCATTTGAGATGTCATTGTGAGGTCATGACAAGGCAGCTGGCTGCTTCACAGAGCTGAACATCAATAATTCAAGTTTTGTTTTGTGTATATTATTTGTATATTATTATAAATATATGATTAGCCCAGTAATGACCATAACAGAGTCACCTTGGAGGGGTCTGAAGCACCAGTGATGTTTGGATCTTCGGACGTCATCTCTCATGCAGATTTTCATCATTTGACACAAGCTCTGACACAGTGTATTGAAACAGCGAGCTTCATAGGAATGAGCAGTAGAGCTTTGGTATCATCCACCCATCTCTACTATTCATCATCACTTCACCTTGTTATTAAAGGGCCAGTGTGTAAAATGGGTTGAAAACAGTGACATCAGGGGTCAGATTCTAGATTGCAGGGCTCACTCGCTCACTCCTCCCGTCGGGTAAATGACGGTGGCCTCATAGGGACAAAAAGCCTTGTGCACGAGTTTTTCAGGAGTAGGTCTATCTAGCGACGAGGTGAATATTTATTTAGAAATCTAAACCATGTTACGATATTGTAATGAATCCCTCACGAGCAGGAGACCAGAGGAGCGTTCGGGAAAAAGGCCAGTTTATTTGAGCACTCCAAAAACTCCGGTAACGCTCCAGGGGGTAAAAGACTCCGTCCCAAACTCTGACTCTTCTAGCGTAACAGACACACTTCTTATACACATACTCGTTTACCATACCGAGTGGGGACCTCCTCCCCTCCCCTCTCTGCTCCGCCAATCTCCAGCCCGCACACTGACTGACAGCGTAGCCGGTAAACAGAGCTCAGCTGTTTATTTAGCCTAGCAATATCTCCGGACTATAGTAGCTGCAATGGACGACTTTGAACGCGATTTTGAAGAGTTTCTTGTAGCGGACACAGACCCAGAGCCATACCTGTTTGAGCTGGAGCATACAGATGAGGAACTCCATGTGTTGGATGCTGAGCGGGCGAGAAGAGAGGCTGAATGCACAGAATGGCATTCAGTGCTACTGCTACCATCGTTGGGAGATATATCATCAGGAGGAAAAGCGCCGCAGAGAGTGCATCACAAGGAGTGAAGTTGCGTCTTCTTTTCCTCGCAGATGACAGTTCGGGTTCATTCTCTCCTGTTGCGTGGTAAGTGTGGTCCATTCGCAAACGTTATAACTAAAAAAACTTTTCACTGCTCTCTATCGATGAACTACTAACACTCTGCTGTTTCCTCCTCCTTCTTCCTTCCTTCCACTGTCTTCGTTGGTTCATTTATACACGCGAAACGCGTTCTCTGGCTGGCTGGATTGTCCGCTCGGTCTGCTGTACATACATGGCGGCGCAAGATGGCGACCTCTCTAAAGCAAGGCCCTTGCTATATATATATATATAAATATATAAAAGCATAATTATAAGGCTACGAAAACCAAAC